TGACATCGATGCGACAGCAGACATCACTGAGTTTCCAGTGGAGAATTCAAAATCAAGTTACATCAGTTTCTTTCACGTCAGACAAGACACTCGAAAATGTTTGTCTCGTTTTGAATGTCAAAACGTATTTCACATGCAGGAAACGTGCATGAAAATCGATATTAAACGTTAAAAGACCAGTTCGATTCAAATTTCACGTGCAGAAAATGAATACAAATTAATATTTTTTTACTTGGGTCTGATTACAATCGAACATAGGAATCATAATAACCGTTTTCCGAAATATCAGACGACAAAAATAAAGCGTTTCGGTCTTAGCTGTTGTTTGCAGTTTCACTAACACATACTTTTCAAAAACCGTAAACTATATATATGCGCTCGTATTTACCAGCGATGATGTATTTCATACAGCTTCAACTTAAGTGCAGTTTAAGAGTATTTTCACCACTACGATATGTCACATGTGTCGGTTTCGAGCGAAACAAAAAGGAATACGATAGCACAACCACTAGTGTCCGCTCAAAGCCAAAATAACCAACAGCTTTTGTGCCGTAAGTGTGTTCTACTGCAAAAAATCGGACCGATAGCAATCGCGAATCTAGAGACGTGTTTAACACCATTAAACCAGTGGCGTATTTAGGAATTTCAGGGTAAGGGCAACACATATTTTGCCTCCCCCCCAGTCAAAAAAAAAATTTGTTACTAATTAATATTATTTATTAAAACCTCTATTAACTGCTAGATATACAATATAAATACAAAATTTAAATCTTTTTCTTCTTTGATTCAGAACTAGCAAAATCATTAATTATTTTTTCAAAATCTAATAAAGTGGTTATTTCAGCTTCAATTGTTAATACCGCTAAAACCAAGCACCGGTCTTGTGCCATTGTAGAGCGAAAATATTTTTTATTCTTTTAAGTGTTGAAAAAGAACGTTCTGCATTAAAATTTGTAGATGGTGTATACAAAAAATACATAAAGCTACCCCAGTATAAAGATAAACACTATTCAAATTATGTTCTTTTATAAACTGTAACATCTGTATTGTTGTAAGCTTAACTTCAATATTTTTATATGGCCTTAAAATTGTACACACTCATTTAAAAAACACGTTGCTAAATCATTTGCGTAAGTTGTATAATTGTGTAAAGTACGAAATAAAAATTTCCGCCCCTCTAAATCTTTAAAAATATGCCGCTCTGGGCAACGGGACCCATGGCCCCTATCTAAATACGCCCCTGCATGAAACACTGACCATGGTTATAAATATTATTCGCTCATGCTATGAATTGGCACTTGAGCGATTTGGTAGGTATGAATGACAGGACTATATAGGATAAGGTATTTTAGTGACGTTGCTTCTGAGTAGCTGTATGTGAAGCTTCGATATAATTTTGAAATTAATTGGTTTCGCGCAGCGAATTATTTTTATTATACGCTTTTTCAGCCTCGTCGTGTTTTTGGATTTTTGTGGGTCTGTACCGTACCAACGGTAACGGTTATCACAATCGAATACCAGGCATTAACGGATTACAGTTTATTATAGCATTGAGATGCCATTATTTTTTTATCGCCGTTGGAGTACATAAAACGCATGGATGACATATTTATGTAATATAACTTTTCGGAATTCGTAAAATGGTAGCAAACGTACGCAGAAAGATTGTTTAGTGAAACTCCTATAACAGTGTTACACTACCTATATGCTAAGGTAGTCCATACATTTATATTGTGTTGGGTAGATGGCCCTTTATAACATAATAGGTACGCTTTAATATAACGCTAATAATCGTTTTACCATAAGAGATTTTATCGTATACTTTAAATTAATACAGCACAAATTGATTTTGGTTATTATACTTATATTTTAATAGCTTAGATGTTTATCTTGACAATAGCGACCCAACCGACAAAATATAGACATTTACTAAACTTTTTTTTTTTTTTTAATTCTTAAATGTTTTCATTTTAATTTATAAATACTTTGTATGTATTATGTTATACTTATTTGTGCCATATTAATAATTATTTACTGGAAAAAATAATTGTATATTTTATTAATTGTATTTAGTTTCATGTATTGATAATAATTAAATTGATTTTTTCATAATTAATTCATAAAATCGTGCATGCTTTTACGCGTTATAATATAAATTACTTTCAAAGTTGGTACTTCATTTGGTCTTTGAAATTTTAATTTTATTATAGCTGACTTCTTTTAGTATATGGAACAGTACTTCAAATCTTAGACACATCTTTTAAACATTTTTTTTTTTTTTAATCAAAAAATAAAATAATTTCAAAATATCAAATTTTATAACCTTTTTAAACTCGTTTTAAGATAGGGTGAATAAAAATGTAATGTGTTTTACCTCTATAATTACTTTATGCTAATGTAAAATAAACAAATCAAGCCCAATAATCGATTTTTAAAATGTATTTGTCATAAGAAACATTTTTAAGAAATGTGAAGAAAAAAATTAAATTTTCCTGGTATACAATGAATATATAATCAATTATACGTAACTTCAAATGCAAATAACATGGAATCACATTTTTTTTTTAAAAAAAACATTTTATTTTCTGAAACTATATACAAAGTAAGTATTTACAAATTAAAATAAAACAAATTAAGAATTAAAAAAAAAAACAATATGATAAATATTCGCATTTTGTATAAAACGTTCCAATGTGTGTCGTGAGATATTTCTCCGTTTGTCGTACAACATCCCACACAGCATTTGTCAATCATAAAAATTGTATTAATGTTTTACTTTGATTGGAATTAAAATTTTTAAAATTATAACTTTATCCAACGTTATAAAATTATTTAATTTAAGATTCCGAACGGATATATTTTTATGTTATAATTGAAATATTGAATAAAACTTAATTAATTTTAGATAAAAAATATTTAAATATTAATACAAATTTTAGATTGTATAATTCTTAATATTTAACATTTATTAATTTACAAAGATTAATTTTGAAAATCAAACATTAACTTTATATTTATACTAATTGTTTAATTTTAATTTTGTGTTCATTGAAAATTAAATATTTAATATTCAATTTAAATATAATATTAAATTATACATATCGTATGCGGCGTTTATATATATTCTATTAATAATAATAAGCTTATAAAAATAAATCTATATAATAGAATAATTAATAAATAACGTAAATAATGGATTTGTAATGTTTAAATTAAATTGGTCAAATAATTAGACTTTAATTCTTGTATAATATATGTATATATTATATTATTATATACTATACATTGCTAGGTTATTAAGAGGGGAAGCAAAGGGGATAAGGCTGCACTAGGTGGCAATTTTTTAATTTTTTGTAGGTAAAAACAAAAGGTTTGAAGTTTTCTAAAATTATTCAAAGAGTTGCATACTAAATAATATAATAATATATATTAAAATATAATAACGTCTACCCTCTTTACTTCAAAGTAAGTTTTCGCATTAGCAAGCTTATATTATTATTATATTGGAAATACCATGATATTATCATTATAAGGCCTTAAAAGCTTGGACCGACACATTTATATTTTCGTTCATATATATTAATTGTATAATGCTTAAAACAGACAGCAGTACACACTACACACACACAGATACATCGTAATCGCGCGTCTGTTTTATTCCCTGTATTAAAACCATGTTTAAAGATCAATCGTGAATATAATTGTACAATATTGTACTTGATACTTGAGCCGATTTTGCCAAAAATGGAACACGGCTAGACTTTCATTAAGTAGCTTTGTTACGTAAACGCTGGGCAAACGATCATTACACATAGCAAATCAACCGTTGAAATCCGTGTACGTATGATATTGAATTCGGATTAATATCCGATGTGATGCAAATATTTGTGTATAAACCATAGACGCGAATATGAGTTTCTGATAGACGTCGTTTAATAAAGACAATTATTATAATAATGATAATAATAATAATAATAATATAATTTAAACAGGTCAACCGGGAGACGTTTCCTGATCGAAATGTTTATACGAAAAAGAGTTCACCGCATAACAAAATGAAGTGCAAAATATGAGTTCAGTTTTGAAAAATTACTAATCGATAGAACATACTATACGAGTGGTCCTCAATTTAAAAATCAATAGATCATCTGACAAGCGTTTGGTTGAAAATTCGAATTTACGTCGAACATGATTTAAAATGTAAAAATGTTGCACATCAATGTTGCTTAGGCAGTAATTTTATTTTTACATTGGTTAAAATTTTAACTCGACCTTGGAACATAAGTTTACCATAGGATTAGGTAATATATCAACATAAACTATAATTCACTTAAAGGAATTATAATATACAATGGTAAAAGCGCAGAAGATTTTCGAACTAGTTTTCAATTGAAATATTTATATATAAATATATATATATATATATATTATAAATTATACTTTATTTTATTAGGTCACATCTCGGAAAGAATCAAAATGTGATTGTAAGTTCGACTGTGTATCCATTTTATTGTTACTATTATAAGTATTCCCCTCAGGGGGGTGTTAAGCAATTAACACTACGGATGTGGCGAACCCGGGGCCCCGAGCTGTGGACTGAACTTACTTTAGTTAGTTGGTTCATTCCACCCTTACTCTGACCTTAATTGGTTGGAGTAATCAGACCCTCCAAGAGGAGGTTGTCGTAAGGCCAATCACCTTACACGCAAAACAATATGATTACGAAACAACGATTAATATTGCCTCGGAACGTGGAGATTACGGATTTATGTATTGGAACTTGGAATGTGCGATCAATGTATAGGACGGGAACATTGACGACAGTCGTATCGTGTCTTGAGCGATACAGACTGGATATAACAGCAGTTCAAGAAATAAGGTGGGACGGATCTGGTAGTATAAAGTCACAAGGAAATACAATTTTATATAGCGGTGGAGAAAAACACTAAAGAGGAGTAGGCTTTATTATTAAGGACAAATTTTTGCCGAATGTTGTCAAGTTTGAACCAATAAGTGATAGAATCTGCTATATAGAATTTAAATGCAAATGGTTTAACATAGTAATTGTAAATTGTTATGCGCCAACAGAAGATAAAAGCGAAGAAGTAAAGAATGCTTTTTACGATGAGCTAGACAGAGTTTGTGATGGGCTATCTTCGGGGAAGCCAAAAATTATCATTGGTGACTTCAATGCGAAAGTCGGAAGAGAAAGGATATACAGACCAACTATTGGAATAAACAGTTTGCATAGTGAGTCCAATGAAAATGGAAACAAATTGATCTCATTTGCAGTAGCAAGAAACATGGTCATAAGCAGTACAATGTTTCCGCACAAGAACATCCATAAACAGACCTGGATATCACCCTGTGGAAGGATAAAAAACCAAATAGATCACATAGTTGTTGATAGGAGAATAAGATCAAGCGTTGAAGATATAAGAAATATGAAGGGTTGTAGTGCGATATCGGATCACTTCCTGGTAAAGGCAAGGTACAAACTAAAAATTTCAGTGAATTGGCAGAAGAAACAGAGCATCAAAAAAATTAATAGAGAGCTACTAAATGGAAACCAAGCAAAGGAATATCAGGGAAAATTGAACAAATACCTTTCAAGCGCTGAACATGAAGCAAATATAGAAGAATTATGGGGAAGAATAGAAAAAGCGGTTAAAAGAACCTCAGAAGAAGTTTTGGGTTACGAACCACAGAGAAGGAACAAGCACTGGTTCAATGAAATGTGTAGAAAGACCACGGAAGAAAGGGATAAAGCGAGATTAAAAGTGCTACAGGACCCAAAAGAAGAAAATAAAAGAGAATTAGCCATGAAACAGAGAGAGGTAAAGAAGACAATTAGGATGAACAAGAGAGCATGGGAAAAAGAAAGAGTACAACTTATAGAAAGTAGTAGAAAGAATAATGCTCGAGTCTTCTTTGGGAAAGCGAATGAAGTTAAACATGGGTTTAAACGTAAAACATCAATGGTTAGAGGAGAAAATGGAACGTTATTGACCGATAACGGAAAAATAGCAGATGAGTTCAAAAAAATGTTTAACACACTTTTTAACCAACCTAGTGAAAGGGCAATTATAGAAGAACGTGCAACAGTAGAACAAAACATAGAACCACCATCAAGAGCAGAGGTAGAAGCTGGTATTGAAATGCTCAAAAGCGGTAAGGCAGCGGGAGAAGATGAGATAATTTCTGAATGCCTTAAAAAGGGAAGACAACTACTAATAAACCAGCTACATAACTTAATTACTAAAGTTTGGGAACATGAAGAAATACCAAGACCGTGGCGTACATCTGTTTTATATCCTATTCTTAAAAAGGGAGACCCCATGAATTGCAAAAATTATAGGGGAATCTTCCTTTTGAACACATCATATAAGATGCTGTCTAATATTCTACTTACTAGAATCAAACCCTATTTACGAGAAATTATTGGAGATTACCAGGGAGGGTTTATGACAGGGAAGTCAACCCAAGATCAAATACATGTTATTAAGCAAATGATCAAAAAAAGCCATGAATTTGACAAAGATATACACCTCCTTTTTATTGATTTTAAGGCCGCATATGATATGGTGAATAGAGAGAAACTATGAAGCGCTATGTACCAATTGGGTATACCTGAAAAGTTTGTAAGACTAGTCCGTGCTTGTGTACAAGGATCAAAGTGTAAAGTGAAGTTCGGAGATGCCGTATCGGAGGATTTTGAGGTGGTGACAGGGCTTAGACAAGGTGACGCCTTGTCCCCAGCTCTTTTCAACTTAGCATTGGAATCAGTCGTAAGAGATACCCTTGTAACTGCAAGTGGAATTAAAATTGGAATTGACAAACAACTAATTCTAGCTGCCTATGCAGATGATTTAGTGATAATGGCAGAAAATGAAGAAAATCTAAAGGAGACAACACGAAATTTACTGGAAAACGGAAAGAAAATAGGATTAATTATAAATGAGGATAAGACAAAATATATGGTAGTAACTAGGAATAACCATAGAGGGGGACACCTGGATATTGGGGAATATAAGTTCGAAAAAAGTAGATGATTTTAAATACCTAGGAGTGGACATCAACAAGGATGCAAATAGCCACGAGGAAATAAAGATTAGATTAGCAGCGGCAAACAGATGTTATTTTGGATTGGTCCCTCTATTTAAATCAAAGATATTATCATGGAAGATAAAAATAACCCTTTATAATGTACTAGTAAGACCTATAGCTTTGTATGCATGTGGGACGTGGGCCACTACAAAATCGGATGAACTAAAATTGGCCACCTTCGAGCGGAAGATATTAAGGAGAATCTATGGTCCAAAAAAAAATAACGAAGGAGAATACAAAGTAAGAACAAATCAGGAGATCTAAGACCTGTACGGAGAACCGAATATTAACGGAATTTTAAAAAGTAGTAGGCTGAGCTGGGCCGGGCACGTGTGGAGATCGGAGGGGCCAATTGGACAGGCTACGAAATGGAAGCCGAATACAAAAAGGCCTAGAGGACGTCCTCGACAAAGATGGAAGGATAGAGTGGTCAAGGACTTGAGGGAACTTGGAATAGAGGATGGGGAAGAGCTGGCAAGAGACCGAGACAGGTGGAGGCAAGTGGTTGTTGCGGCAATGGGCCTGAATGGCCTGTAAACGCCTAAGAAGAAGAAGAAGAAGATTATAAGTATTATTTTTTTTTTAAATCGGTGTTAATTTTCGTATGTCCATTCTATCCGATAATTGGATGAATTTTATTCTTAGTGCACCACGTGTTAATTGTACACGTGGGAATATCGAAGATAGGAAAAACAAAATCTAGACGCTGCATGGTGGAACCTAAGTAACGAAAAAAAAAAATGAAAGAAAGGATATCAACTGAAGAGTGATCGAAAACCGTATATTTAATACATAAAAAGTATGCGTAGTATTTTAATCCCGAGAAGTGTATTCAAGTATAAATTATGAAATCCAAAGGTTCGGAAATGAACGCGTATAATACTGGTGGCTTATTTATTTTAATTAAAAAATAAAAAGGATTTTTACTTAAATTACGATTTTTCAGAAAACATTGATGATGAAACACATAAGCGTTATAACGTCTAGTGTTTTGAATTTGTATTTATTTTTTCAATGTGATCCATCAATATGTACAGAAAAAAATTAAACTCTAACAAGTTTATTCGAAACTTAAGCACAAACGGATAGTTTTTCGAATGAACGTGCAACAAAAAACGGTCGGTAAATCATCGGTGTTTAAAAAGAATCGACCGTTTCGAGAAATAAAATACAGTTGAAGACCGTTCTCGTCAGTATTTTCCGATAAATCGTATTACCGGTGTAGTTAAAGGTAATACCGCTGGTACATAAACTCACGGAGTTGGTCTCACTTCAAAGTATCCAAGTGTAATATGGCTATTGTATACGTTTATGATAATGAAGCGAATCAACAGGACAGGGTCGTGTGAAAGATAATCCGTATGAAAGGCTGTATCTTAACATTTTTTTCGTGAGGGATCCAAAACAAGTAATTTTATTGAATTTAGATTTTAACTTTTGATATTTGGTTAATAATAAGACAGAAAAAGATTTAATCTTCTTTTATTAAAACTTATATCATATTTTCATATAATATTATGATATAAAATTAAAAGCAATCAATAATTAATTGCAGCTTAAGTCATTTTTGACTAAAAATATTTATGTTGGTATTAAAAATAACTAAGTATTTTAAACATTCGTAAAATAATTTGGAGGAAGGGGTCCGGTTAACACTCCGGGGGAGCCAGATACGGCCTTGTCCGTATGTAAAGGTAGGTCATTACATTGGTAGTGTGATTTGATTCAAGGATAGATGGGAATTTGCCCTTATTAGATCGAGAAATCCTCCCTAAATTGTTGTGTTTTAGTCTATTCTTATAGTTTTCAGTTTATTGGATAGTTTTTGGCGAAACTACAATTAATGGTTTGTATAAACTATGAATAGTTACATTAAGAATGTGTTTTGTATATTATAATTTGTCAAATAAAAATACGTGAACGCATAGTTGACGTGAACTGAAAGTCCATAAATTATTATTACTTGTAACATTTTTTAATCTTTAAATCCTGATCATTTCAATTCCAAAAATTCTCATTTGACTAATATCCTTAACCATTACAGTCGTTTGAAAACGTATAATTTAATACTTCAATGTGAATTATCATTCGTGAATAACTTATTAAAGTCATCGGAATAAAGAACGAGACAATAACAATTTAAACTTTTTTTTTTCTAAAAAATTTTCTTAAGTTAATAATTTAATATTTTCGCCCCCTCCCCCCACCATCTCCACCAGCTTCAGGCGTCCAAGGCAAGTGCCTCGCTCGCCTCACCCTAGATACGGTTTCGTCGTTAACGTAGTGACTCTTGAGCACCACTCGGGACCGCGTGAACATAAAACGCATAAACACGCATCGTTATTATATTACGTTGTTCAGACTCGTCCGGTCCGTGTTGTCCTTGCTGGTCCGCGCCGAGACCGAACGACATCATCGGCCGACTGCTGCGTGATTGATAACCACGCGCGTTCGTGTCTTCCGACCGAGTTTTTTTCCACTTTTTTTTCTCCCTTCCTTACGATAATCACGTCTTATTTTTAGAACAGTTTTATCATCGTACGTTTAAAGACGCCCGGAGAAACGATGCTGCTAATTATTAATCGGCGACCGCCGCGTAATTGACCAACCATGCGCGTTTGTGTCCCGTGTTTTGTTGTATAGGGTTACACGAGCGGCGTCGACGACGGGTTCCCGTCATGATGACAAATGAAGTAGAAACAGCTAAAAATTAATTCCCGTCGACCGCGGGATCCCCGCGCGCGCGCTGACCCCTTCGCATCCGGTCGTTAAACCGTACGTTTTACACACGTCTCGTCTCCGACCTCACGCGCCCGACGCGATGTCATTACAAATGTGTGCGCGTGTGGTGTGTCCGTTTTTATTAACACGCGGGAAACGACGCGACAGCGTACTCGGTCCGCAGCAGCGGTGCAACCAGGATTTAACGGGGTCCAGGAAAAACATTTATTCATCTGCTGTTCTTATGTTCCTTTCCTGAGTGTATACATTATAAGCAACGCCGGATTGAGGGGAGGAAAGTCTAGCAGGAGCGGTAGCCACGGGGCCCTCTCGAGTACCCAAGTGAAAGAGGCCCAAACAGTTTTGAACCGATACACATTTTAATTTTATAATGCAATTAACAATTTGTGAAATATTTTAAAAAATGTGTCGTTCTGCGAGAGTAACAAACAACTTTGCAAAGCATGTTTTGTCAAAAAGACCCATATAAAATTTCAGCCGCTGGGGCCCAATAGGTGCTTAATCCAGCCATGATTATTTTTACGTTTCATTGCTTAAGTATTATGCAACTATTATGATATATAAGGTTATTTGACAATCGTTGATTTTATCTGTTTATCGGATTCGTCATGTTATCAAACAACATACCAACTCTAATAATAATTCTAATCAATAAGTTTTGATGAAAACTTCTGGGTATTAAACTAAAATAAATACTATGGTACGAGCCAAGGTTATTGCGCCAGTGCCCCTGGGTTCACCACTGGTTCGCAGAGTCCAAAGGTCCGACTCAGCGTGTGTGGTTCGGCATTTAATATTATTCAAGTCGTGGCGACGCGGCTCCGTCCTCGTATACGACCCCAATGTTGCGCAGTTCTCGGATCGTTTTCTTCGACATCACTCCGTACAGTTCGCCTTTGACCACGAAACCGGCTTCCGGGTATAAAGGACTTTCAAGTGGTTGTTCTTTCTTCGTATTTCGTCATGAATTTTATTTACATCGGATGACCATGTGCGAGTCGGTACGTGGAAAGAGGGAGGCGACTTGATAAGCTTTCTACCGTTTACCCACGCGAGTTAATATATACTGAACATGTAAAATATTATAACTGAAATACGTGCATAAACTGTATTACTTTTCGCACGTCTCTTCGGTGGACACATTAATTCAAAACTCTTACCATTTTACTGAAACGGTTGAAGCATGTCGCAACAGATAGGGATTTAAGATCGTATTTGAGTACCAGTCCTTCAGCTCCTTAAAAGAGGCCCAAACTATTTTACAGAAGAAAATCAACGATGTACAGAACCTTCAACTATTTCGCAAACCCCAATACGCTAAAGTAAATGAAAACAATAGAATTATGTTCCAAACAAAATTTAACCATAAGGAGAAAATGGTCAAGTTCCAGACACCACTCAAAATGTTGGTCTATCAAAGTAGTGATTCTTAGACCAAAATGTCCAAAATGTCTCTATATCTAATATTTACTTTCGTGAACGACATTTTTGATTTTATTGTATAACGTTGGGCGAGTTTTTCAATAAGGCTTAAAATATGATCATGAAAAGAACTCAGAGTTACAGATAAAAAAAAGTACCATACTACTCTAAAAAAAGTCAACCCACCAAAATGATAAAATATACAATGTAGTAATGTCTGTTTATGCCTCATTCATATACGTCGAAATTAACGGACTTTAATCAACAGTATGGATATCAATACTTTCATAATCTGACTCATTTGGAAAAGTGTCTGGAACTTGACCCTTTTTTC